CGTGTGTGTGTGTGTGCGTGTGTGTGTGTGTGTGTGTGTGTGTGTGTGAGTTTTGTGTGTGTGTATCTGTATATATGTATGTACTATACTCGTGCATGCTTTACTTAGATGAAAGTATCGAACAATCAGTGATTGATGACTTGAAGTGGCTATTGTATTTGTTACCTCGAGATAACCTGTCTGCTCACCTCAACACTGTGTACTACAACAGCTAACGCCCAAGCCTATGGACTTCAACTACTCCGACATCCGCGAGTTCAATTTCTCCGCTGAGACTGTGACCGATATGGATATGTGGATTGGATCGATGTGGCAAATAATCGAGAAATATCAGAATTTGAAGGTAATGATAATCCGCGATAGTGTTAGAAGTTTTGAATTGCGGAGAATCTCGTACCCATACCTCACATCTGCTTGCACACTAAACATCGAAATGAGCTCAATTCTGCGTACACACTCACCCAGCAATACGCATTCTTGTACACAATCATACCACGTGGTTTATGTTACAATGTGTGACATGCCCAATCATTAGGCTCCCACATCTCAATTCCACATAACTGTATATACTGATACCACTGTGAAACTTCTTCACATAAATACCACTGTGAAACTCCTTCCCATAAATACCACTGTGAAACTTCTTCCCATAAATACCACTGTGAAACTTCTTCCCATAAATCCCACTGTAAAACTTCTTCCCATAAATACCACTGTAAAACTCCTTCCCATAAATACCACTGTGAAACTTCTTCCCATATATATCACTGTGAAACTACTTCCCATAAATACCACTGTGAAACTCCTTCCCATAAATACCACTGTGAAATTTCTTCCCTTAAATACCACTGTGAAATTTCTTCCCTTAAATATCACTGTGAAACTTCTTCCCAAAAATACCACTGTGAAACTTCTTCCCAAAAATACCACTGTGAAACTTCTTCCCATAAATACCACTGTGAAACTCCTTCCCATAAATACCACTGTGAAACTCCTTCCCATAAATACCGCTGTGAAACTTCTTCCCATAAATACCACTGTGAAACTCCTTCCCATAAATACCACTGTGAAACTCCTTCCCATAATCCTGAGCAGCTCAAATTAAACCCTCTCGGACAAGTCACGGCCGAGTCCGAAGTCAGTGCGGAGAACGTCCGTATCGAAGGATTCTGAAGTGTCTAGAACCGACGACTACTGCGGAGCGGTAGGGCTCGAAGGGTGATACGCATCTCTTGCTTGTTTAGTCCTGACACATCCGTTGAAGCCGCCATCCGAGGGCGCTGACCAGCACAAACACCGGAGGACCTTCCATGTTCATTTGTGTTATTCGGGTGTACTGAGCGCGAATTGGGTGTGCCGGATTGGGTGTGCCGTTCCAGCGGTATAGGTCAACGACGTGAGCGGGTTCTGTGCCGGATTGTATCCATGTGCGGTCACATGATTTCGTAAATATAAGCCGCACGCGTAAGCTAGCGCCGTGGGCTACCGGCGTGCGGTGTGGAAAGGTCGCTGGATACTACTACAGTATATGTCATACTATACTAACGGAGCGATACGCTCCAAATAAAGTCATACCTTTCCATACACCTGTCGATGCGACTGTTGGGGCCACACGCGGTTTACAAAATCCAAGCGTCGCGGTTTACAAAACCCAAGCGAGGTTTACGAAACCCAAGCGTGCGTGCTTTTTGGGACCAAGATTTGTACATGAACGTGCGATGCGGCGCTATTGTGCATGTTGCTTCGGAGCCATGCGGATAAAGTAACTGCCAATCATCTCACCAAATCAAACGTGTATGTGTCTCCATACTTGCATGCTAGAAATTTTTGTGAATGTGTGATGTGGAAGCTGTGCAACCGTGCAACGAGAACCACAGCATGGCCAGGCGTTTTGGAGCGAGTCAGATCATGTAGTACAAAGAAATAAGGATGTAAATACAAGTGGAATTAAAAATATATTGGGTGTTGGCTGTAGCCTTTGAATATATATCCATACTACACACGAGTTTAGATTAATCTGATTCAGTAAACTCTCCCAGAGGGTTTACTACTTGATAACATGCTTAACATAGTATAGGTACAGTTGATATTGTACTGGCGAGCCTTGTTCAAGGCAGAGTTGGTGGCGAACTTAAATCCGGATAAAAAGTATTGAGATTTTATTTTTTTAAATTGGCTTATTACTTGTCCATACCACAGCTTATCAGCTCGAACAATCATAACACCCTTTCGATCGCTATCCAACTGAATGAAATATCAACAGAAACTGCATAGTACTTGAGAAAATCGTATCAGACTTAACAAAACTTTGCGGCTACTTTACTAGACAGTCCCAATATGAACAGATGCTGAGGTCCTATTGTTTCAAAGTTGTCTGTAAAAATGCATGGCTGTACGGCCAACCCACCATACGAAACACCTCATCTTTGATTCGTGATAGTATTTGCCTCACCGTTGATTGGGATTTAATTATATTTATTTTGGATATATATACATAAAAATTTGATTAATACTCAGAAGTCCTCAATATACACTGTGTCGACCCGGAGTAGGATACCTATCGCAAACTGTGCGATTCACAGCGGATCAATGGATTGGGCCCAAAAAAAAAAATGGGATTTTGAGGTGTGAATTAGTACTTTATGTAATCCGACAATGGGTCTTCATGTAGGCTTGCATGTGGGAAGTAGTGAAAACCCTAAACCCTAACCCCCGTAGGCTGGCATGTAGGACGTAGTGAGGAACTACCGCCACACATATAATGTCCAGCGATTTGGTTTTTGGATTTTTGAATTTTTGGGTTTAGGGTTTGCAGCTGGGCGGTACTGTTTTGGAGACAATGTAGAGCCATCACGTGCAGGTTATTCTGCGTAATCCCAATAACACACCAAACTTCCGGGCCAGATCGTGTCACAGACTCCAAATAATCAAATTAGGACACGAAAGCCATGAAAGCTACTACTACTACTCCCAACATATGCGATAACTACTGGGTGTAACTAGCTGTCCTCGGGCAATACGAAGTGGTGGTGGCCCCGAAGCACGAGTGTATTTCTATGAGATTATGGTGTCCGAAGAAGGCATGGATGTAACACCACGCCCGTATACCTACACATACCGTGTCTTTAAAATCCCTTCGCGTAGTGATGATACGGATGCGCACATCATCCCCAGTGCCCAACTTCAACGCCGGGAAGAACTAAAATTACAAGAAACAGTCTGTTAGGGTAACAGGACCACGTGGTAGACACATGGCCGGCGGAATATACACATGGCATTGAAAAAGCCGATATTGTGAAACACAATCGAACGGCAAGGGCGAGATAGTGCTGCTTGCGAATACTTCAGTCGTTCACAGCAACACGAGCCATGTCTGCGGCTACAAGCAGAATGCACAGGTATAACCTAACTGGTATGGTGTGCGTATTCATCCTGCCAGGCAGCTGGCCTATACTCGAATTCATGCACTCGCATGAGATACACACACATGTATGTGCTTGTAAGGACCGTACCGATGTGCGGAAAACTTTATCTCAAAGTCTAATGAAACGGCTAGAATAAATCGAATCGCGTGTATCCCACTGCCACAGCGGCAAAGGATATCTGGCTCTAGAATTTCACGCATCTACCCTAATTCATAGCATTGCCAGCCAATTTCTTAGACACACCACGTCTAGTATCGCATCTACCCTAATTCATAGCATTACCAGCCCATTTCTTAGACACACCACGTCTAGTACGGAACAGAGCCATCACGCAAGTTAAAGGACAGGGAGGCTGCTCAACCTGAGCTCAACACAAACAAACCACGTATGCGGAAACAGGGCTCGATTGCACCTGAAAGTACTTTGGGCCAAAAATGGTGCATTGGTTTGTTCCCACACATTGCTTACCTCTTCTGTGGAGCGGAATATTTGTTCGGTTTCGTCGTACACTAAACTATTACTCATGTTCTGTGGCAAAGAGATTCGGAGAGATGTCAACGAGTGAGATGTCTATGATCGTTGAGTTTGGATTGAATGAGTATGGTTGACCTTATAATGTCTGTCCACAAATGACACCGTATTTGTACGTTTACTACAGCCCATAAGCCATCTGGCAAGTGCTGTTATATCGTGTTTTGCCAAAATAATACTACCCCAAAACATTCAGCAGTAGATAACCGTAAATGCATGGACAGACGCAGCAAAGATATACAGAAGGTTGATGGCTGAGCGGACATAAAAAGAGTACACAATAAACAATATATGTAATTGAAATATGTGTGAAGGGATGTTAAAGGTGTGCAAGAACTTACATTCCGCGAGACGAAGATCTGTAACGGACCCACTTGCGCAAAAATTCCTAGCTGTAGAGGAAAAAAAGGGATTACAAGATCAGTGAGAAGGGCATTGTATGACAGGTGTGTGATATGTATATATATGTATGTATGTATATATGTATGTATGTATATATATATATATATAAAATATATATATATATCCTGGACACATGCACAGGCGTATGGCAGGCTATATACGGATAGAATGAACCAAAAACAGTCAATCTTGAACAGCCAAGCCACACTGGTATCCGAGAAGTGTATGATTATCGAGAGGTGCGAATGCTCAGAATAAGATATTCTACACGAAACTATAGTCCACCAATGCATATGTGCAAGCGGGCACAGAAGAACGTATTGATACATGCACTGACCCTACGACCAATCGATCGAGTACGATGTATACCACTGTTCGGCATCATGAATGGAATGGCATGACAACGCTTGGCATCGAGTGCACAGGGGAAAGGATTCGAATAGGCACAGCAGGACGTGACACTTCCTAAAACAATACAACATGACACAACTATAAGATAACACCCTTGACAGACGCTTAACATCGCAGGGACGGCATCGATATGACACAGTAGTGGGTGCTAGAGCATATGGCCCAATAGTGCTAAGCGCATAACATACCTTTGTAACCTGTGTCACCTCCGCATCCACAACCTCGCCCTTGAACGAACGAAGCACAATGGCTTTATATTTGACATTGAACGTAGCCAAGCCACGCCCCTCCTGGATCATGCCCTTCCCCACCTATAACCGCGTCAGAAGTAAGTCAGTTCAGTATGGTGAAGACGTGGCAGCAGTATGCTGTGGATATAGTGGTGGTATCATGTTCATACAGTGTTGGTAAAATGTTAATAGGATGACGATATGGTGTCAGTATGTATCAGTAAGGTGTTGGTGTGGTGTCAGGACGATTGTTGGTATGGTGAGTAGCACAATGGCTTTCCGACTGACAGGCCCCTTATTCAGGCTCTTCCCATCTGCCGAGGTGTCAAAATGATGTCGAGTTGATGACACCACCAATATATTCAAAAATTTCAGCATACGGAGGTCAATACGACTCAGACAAGTGTTCACAGTGTGTCCCACTGAACCACCCAATCAGACGCACAGCACAGGGCCTCAGGCCGTGCTTATCCCGCCCCACTGGCGCCATAGCACGTGACCATATCCAATGCATACACTAGCTCTAAGAAGACTTGGCGAGCTGGCATTCGTGTCCCATCATGTCAGGTATTCTACTTTTCATCAAGCAATGATTTGGCGTCACAGATATAATCTATTGTCAGGTGTCTCGTATGTTATCTATTGCCAGGTGTCTCGTATGTTATCTATTGTCAGGTGTCTCGTATGTCATAGGGTCGTCTGGTGTGTTCAGTTTAGCTCGCGCTATGAGCACTATCAAGATGTGATTGCGTGTATATAGAAAGCCTTCCTATATACCTACACTGTACTGTTAACCTTTGCGTTCATATGTGATACATTCTACCACAGACATTTTGAGAAGCAAGATCCTGCCATCTGTACTTCCTGGTAGCATCTATATCGCTATCAATTGTATCGATGCAACGTGATATATATATATATATATGTATATATATATGTGTGTGTGTGTGTGTGTGTGTGTGTGTGTGTGTGTGCGGTGTGTGTGTGTGTGTGTGTGTCGTGTGTGTGTGTGTGTCGTGTGTGTGTGTG